TTCAGGTAACAGTAAGTGTTGGCATAACCATATAATCCACGTGAGAACATAAGTCCTCGCATTTCCCACTCGTAGTGTGACCTTACTCAGCAATACAGATGTAATCCATCAGAATTAGTTGTTACCGTACAAAGATGTAGACATTTGAAGGACTATTATCCAATGGTGATGGAGTTTTGGACGTAGGACTCACGTTGAAGCATACGGCATTATCAAGGAGGTATGTTGACTGTAAATTGTCTTCTATGAAACGGAGTCAAATGAGGTGAAATGTCTCACTTTGAGTCACTAGGTGAGTTTATTTCTTAGACTTAGTTTTTGTCCAGATTTTCGCTGCAGTTATAACAGTCAAAAAGCCTTAGATCATTCATTGTACTTGGGCTTCGTACATGGTTGCATCTAGGATGTTGGTAACTGGGCAAGTTTGCTGTAGAATGTTTCAGAAAGTTGAAAATCAACAGGGGAAGACCAGTTGGAGGGATCTCTCAATAATTTCTGGTATCAGGTACGAAGTAGTATACTAAGTAGGTTGAAAGTTTCGGTGAAAATTATGCTCAAGGTTTTCTCTTCAAACTTAAGCCGAAAAGAGAAGAAGAAAAGGAAAACAAGAGCAGAAACCAGAGAGTGATATACCACACAAGAAGAAATTGGGGAAAGAGAAGTTCCCATCTTCTAAGAGACACTAGAGCTACATGTACACTTCAATTTATGCATATAAAAATGACTCTTACGGTTTTCCTGCATAAATCCTAGCTATCATGTAATACCATCTGACAGTATTTTTCCTTAAACGTAACATGGTTGACTAAACAGTTCGTGACTTGTCATCAGAACTCCAGGAAATTCATTTCGAAATCAGTTTATTATTGATTACTAGGTAGTATTTAGGTTTTCTTATAAACATGTGTTCTCTAAATGACTTAAGTTTCTGATGAAAAACCACTTTTAAATCCTAATTTAATTCCAACTCCGCACGACTCACTTCACTACTTCCATATTTTGCTACCTTTTTCGATTTTTGGTCCTAGAAAAACATCGTATAATATGTGGAACACCTCACTTTACGTTAAATTTAAAAAAATTATTATCATTTAAATTTTATCATACGCTGCAGTTTATTCCATTTTCTAGTTCCAAAGGACTTCATTCCTTTTCAATTTTGCTTCATTTCGATTATTCCGAAAGGAAGTCAATTATTTTTCAATGCGTCTTTTACTACTGAAATATTCAAAGTAGACAAAGCAACAAATTAAAATGTTTGATCTTTTCAGCGCTTCAAATAAAAAGTTGAATATTTGCAAATAATACACATTCACAGTTAGCATTAACCTGAAGCTACGCGTCTCGCCGGAATTCTGAGTGTGCCTTTCAAAAAACTTATACAGCTGTCTATTAAAAGATTTCTATCATCTCCGTATGCATTGAGAGTAATGGAAATATTACTATCGAATTGCAAATGACATCTGTCATGGCAACAGATGTACATTATTTTCTCATCTGTTACAAAGCTGGATAAGAGTCTTAGTAACTTGTTCACTTGATTTCCACCACTAAAATACTCCTGAGATAGTTTCAGAAAATTCACAAAAGTTCTAAAGTCTTGATTTTATTGATAAATCTTACCTGAAAATTTAAAATAAGTTGGCAGTGGAGTAAATAAACCTGCTACTTCACTTGGATGGCCTTTGTTCTACTTAAGTGGTGGTATATATCATGCCATTATACTTCATTCAGTGTATCGTAAGTTCATGCATATCTTTGATTTTACATACCCCAGCAGATAATTGCAGATAGGATGAAAGTAATTTTCGTTTCCAGTCAGTGATTCCTTGATAAAAAGGAGAGCAGCCATTGGTTGAATACCTCAGTGGCAACATCTCTGGCTGCGGCAGTGGATGACATAATTTTAAATCTCAGACGGAATATCAAGTTTGTAGACGTCGCAGATACGCCTTGCTGACGAGTGCCAAAAAGCACGAAACCTATGTCTAGAGCTTCCTACCAATCGACTCCATCCAACTAACACATTCACTTTGATTGTGACTTATGTTTTGTTCAGCATCAGATCGATCTTGGAAGAATGATGTTAGGTGTTTGATCCAAAGAAGTTGCAGTGCCTATTACACTTGTCAACTTCAAGTATAGATACGTGAAGGACCTTGAACTGACTGTCAGGTTTTTACCTTTATCCCAGATAACTCTCTTGTGCAGAACCTCTTGTAATGCTAAAAAAATTTACTATCGGTAAGAGAATCAAAATACTTCAGTTAAGACTGAGCTTTGTTGTCTTCGAACCGTGACTTTAACTGAAACTGTATAATGTTCAAAAGTTGTCATTTTTACAAAACCTAACGTTCAGCTTTTTCGAATCTCTCCAGAACACTGTAGACAATAATAAATTCAGTGTCCTCCCGGTTAGCACACTTTTTTATTAACTGTTACAGATATTTATAGACGAAGTGATGAAAGGTGCGTAACTAAGCTTGAAAAACTTATTAATGGGTTTTTACTGAAGAAAATGAAAGGAATATAATTTTCACCAACTGATGACAGAAAATATTCCTATTAATTAGGTTTCGAACAATCTTTGAATGATGGTAAAATAATCCTTAACCCGTGTGACATCAGTAGTTTGGAGAAGGTTTACTGCTGGTAGCTAGTAGTCCACTTTCGAATAGAATTAGAAATATAATCCCAGAATTTCTCCATCATCCATCCTTTTCAATATTAAAATACGCAGGAAAAGTTTTTGCAATCGTTGACACTGCCATAGTGAAATCTGTGAACAAAAAGGATCAAATGAATGCATCTGTTGGCCACGTTGTATGAATCGGCAAATCGGGAGAAAGCATTCTTACCTTCATCGAAAACTGTGTGTCTAAACCATATTGGTTAATGGGACTAAGACATTAAAATGGAAAATAAGGATCGATAGTTAAGTTTTAAGTAAATTGTGTAATTTACGCCACTTTGATAGCAGTTAGCGGTTCTAACAGGAGATAAACCTCAGAGGAAGTATTGGTACAACTCTCAATAATATTCGTGGTCAGTGAAACTACATCATTGCTATCTCTTGTTTACATATAATTTTGAAATGTACACCGTGTATAATGACACGATATTCTGTGCTAGAAAGCAAATCATTTTAGAAGTAGTATTCGACCAAAACACTGTTCGTGTATTGCGGCTGCAAGGTGTCATTGGTCGGTTAAATCGTTTTGAGAGAGAGAGAGAGAATCATTGGAAACGTAGATTATCTGAAATCGGATAATCTGTGAATTGTCTAAGGATTCTTTTAGTGGTTCTTAAGAAAGTTTGTTAGTGCTTTGAATTCTGTCCAACCTTTTTCATCAATGGTGATTGCAAACGGCAGATTCGTGCTGAATTATTTCTCATTAGAATATCTTTCAGGTCATCAAACCGTTTTCGATAAATTTCCATATACGAATATCAGTTTTCATAGTTAAAACACTGAAACCCTACATTTATTAGGGTTTATAAAGATATTTTAAATTCACTAGGTTTTCATCGACAAGGAAAGGAACACTCACTTTCTCATTGTTGCAGATATACTTTGCTGGTTTGTACCAGGTCAGGCAAGGCTTCCTAACGATTTAGATTCAGCGACGAAGTTTAGCTTGAATTTATATTTCGATGTGCATAGGTGTGATACAAAAACATGCAAGGCTTTTGCTGATAAATATGAAAATTCGAAATAAAATTGCATTACAAATGAAGATCTTTGTAATTGCCTACAGCTGCCTACCCACTCCTAGTTTTTAAAACTTGTAAAAGTATTTATTTTTGGTTACATTTCTCTCAGATAAAACTTTCAAAATGTAAAACTGTACTTTGATTTGGGTCAAAAGTTCAAAAAAAGATACAGAAAATATGGTAGAGGCACATAAAAAGTTGAAAATCATCATTTCCAGTAATCACATTAACTGTATAATAATCACATCTTGTTATTCTACAATTTTCAACCTGTTCAATGATTATGTAATGTACTTTTACCGGCTAACTGTTTTCAAACTATTCAAACGACTAGAGATATTTTTTTTGCTTAACATTTAAAAGTGTGACAGTAGCTTATGTGTACTAAAATGTGCTTGTCCTATGAGTGTAAACAACTGATTGTTCGACTGCATTCCATTCCTCAATTCAGTTATAGGTTATTTAGAAAAATTGTGACTAGTTGATTCGTTGGCTTGACAGGCAACTGACTTACCTGTAATGGTACATCCACTAACACACATACACATACACATATGCATAGAAATTTAAATCTAATCCAATGAAGAAATTATGTAGGATAGAACAATAAACTACGAGTTTCATTACACATTTTTGGCATTGTATCGCATACCTTTATAAATCCCTGTTAGAATAGGTTGTATGCTAAACACTGGTACAACACTAAACACATTCCAGATGTATACACACAAGTGAACAAGCGTACACAATAACCTTATCAGCTTGAAGATTGTTGAACGAATAAAGTCTGCGTAAAGTGCACCCAATGAGAAATTACTTGGCCCGTTGAATAAAGGGACTTTGTGCAATTTAGATTGTCATTTTTCCACATGCATAATTTATCAAAAGGGAATGTGTTTATGTGTTATTTAATGAGTCACTATATACATATATAAAGTGAATAACATATTTAAAGGTTTGCTGCTGACCACTTAGTATCAGAAGTGATAGCATTCTCTAGTTTTCAATTAGTATGTTGGTCATTTCAAAAAATTTGTATGAATAAGCTGTAACAGATATCACACTTCCTCACACTCAGATATATTCGAATAGTTTAGTGACTAGTAATTTTCTTTACACATCAGTTACAATTTTTGCGCTTCATTAATTGAATAAACCAACTAAACATTACCTACAATACATCTGTGTACCTGATCAATTGAACAATCAAACTTAATACCTTTTTCATATCTTTTTCTGCATCCTCCTCTTCATCCGCATTATGTTGGGTTACGTGACAATTGAAGTAGAGGGAGGCGATATGGAAGGTGCTGCACGTCATGCTCAAAGGCTAGCTGGAAATTTTCTTGAAGATATGGAAGCAATACAAAAAGCTTCCCGGGCAAGAGATAGGCGAGCGATGAGTCACTTTGAAACTAATTCTACTGTAAGTTTTGGTAAAATTTTATTCAGCTAGTAATTTTTTAAGAATAATTATCAGTGTTAGCTACTGAGTAAAACTCAACTTTTGTTAAATTTAACTTTAAATATTTTACTGATGATATAAAGTCTTTACAGTACAACGATGTTTGCGGTTAGACTATTATATGTCAACAGCAGGACATGAGGTTTCACCATTCCAGCAAAAAGATGCTGAAAATGTCATTAAATAATCAGTGACCGAATTATTTTACTGCTGAACCTTTAATGGTACTTTTATTTTCAACACTTACACTAATGGAGTCTGTATGATATACCAAGTATGCAGAAGATGATATCTCACTTTGTTAGTCTATTTACCAGGTGAATTCTAATGCTCTCGGTATTGATAGGAAATAATGGCTAGCAAACCAGATAAACAGCATGGTTTCTAAAATAGTCCTGCATTGTAAGAATACTAACATTGCTCAGTGATGGGCAGTAGAATCTGTGGTGTATTATTAGTTTACATTATAAGTTAATATGAGTTAGTAACCGAGGATATTAAACCAGGATCGGAAAAGGAAGACAGGCTTTCATTAATCCGAAATCACTGTGCAGCTCTACTGCACTCACAATGAAGCGTCAACAACATCCAGATTTTCAACACCAATTCACTCAAGTCACTGCTCCCATATACTTCACAAACATGGCGTGTCACCAAAAGCATTTCCAACAAACTACAGACATGCATCATCAACACCTGCCACCTTCACTCACTCAATACTGAAGATCATATCAGATGATCAGAATTATGAGAATAAGCAACAAGGAACTCTGGATAGCTAGCTAGCTGGCTGGCTGGCTGGCTGGCTGACTGACTGGCTGGTAACCAACCAACCATCAACCCATCACACAACAAGTATGCAGAGGAAGAAATTAGAGATGGATTGAATTAGGCATACACTGAGAAGGTCGACTCGGGACATCACGCACTACGCCAGGACAGGACAGGACAGGACAGGCCAATCACTCGAGTGGAATCCAAATGCGATATGATGCGTTGGTTGTCCGAGGTGAGGGTGAGGTGGAGGAGATTATGTGAGGAAGAAACGGAAGATTGTGGGCAGTTGTGTATCGAGGTTGTAAATACTGGAGAGAAGAGAGTGTAGTGGAGGCGTGCTACTGAAGCCCTATGTTCCACTAAGAACCCAAAGGAAAAATAATAAATAATAATAATGAGTTAGTAACATTTTAACGGAAATTGATTCATATAGGTGTTCTTCTTTCTAACAAGGATTAATGTAAGTCAACTTCAACCGAGAGCATATTACTCTCGGTAAGTGAATGAAATTTGAATTATTGCTATATTTGTGGCACTTTGGCGATGATTGTCTAGACTCCACCAACAGTCTAAAAGAGAATGTACGCTTAAAAATCTTATTCACAAATATTTTGACTACGTAACAAATTATGAGTTAAAAAGTGATTAAGTTATTGTTTGTAGAGTTAATAACCTATTGAGTTAGGTTTCCTGTTGTTTATCAGGCAGATATATCAAAAATTTTGAAACGTTTTTAATGATTAGTATTCAGAAGAATTAGATAGGTGGATATTTTTATACATGATAAACAGATAGGCGACAATGATTGCTTACATTCTTAGACACCCTAGGCATAAGTCCCAATCTGGTTGATGAGCAGTATGTCGTATGAAACAGTCAGCGATGAAAGTTTGATTAACACCTGGATTCATAAGGAAAAAAGCATTTTATTCAGTACCTGTCTTTTCACTGGAAAAAAGAATCCTCACTAAAGGTCTTATAATAACAAGCAATTTTATCTTGATTGAGAGATGGTTACATTGGATTCAGTGACCAATATTGTCTCACTTCACCTAGTCTTGTCTTCATATTACCTAAAGGACAATGGTCTGCTTGGTTTCAAAGGATTTACTTAAAACGTTTGCACGTAGCAGACTAAACTTAAGGTCAAGTTTACTTATAGTCAATTTTCCCATCTAGATTATGTCACTAATAACTCAAGCCATTCAATTAGTCTTATAAGACAAATGGAACATTTCAATGCTCATCATATCTTCCCAGTACCTGGTGATCGGCTTTTGGAAACCTCTAAATTTTCTCATCCGATTTTGCATACTTCATGATGGTATTTTCTTCAGGCAAATATTTCGAAAAGAGGAATTAAACTAGTCCACCATAGGGAAGATAGGTGAAATGCAATCTGTATTCACAAGGAAATAATGTATATGAAGTAGTCACCAAAAAAATGAAGTCCTGTATGAGGATATAACACCCTAAAGAGCAGGGATGAGAAGCAGTAAATTGAAGAAAACTTCTGAAGACACTCGTTCCGTGTGATGAGTTAACTACTGCAGGCCGGAATCAATTAAAACCCTAGGCTATTTTAGCGATGATCAATCATTCATAGTATAAGTGGGAGTATGATTCATTTAAGAATAAAAATTAATCATTCCTTGGGCAATCAATTGATTTTTCGTCTCAGTTATCTGTAATCCCATTACACAGAGTTTGTAAAAGATTAGTGACGATGATTTTCAACGAATTGTACTCATAGATTATTCAGTAAAATCAGGCTAATTTTTCACCTTAATCAATATTTCGAAAAAGACCTGAAAAACAAAGTGCTATTTTTTCCTAATAGGATGATCTCTAAATTGAAATGATGCCGAAGAAGTGAGATTCTCAACAAGAAAAATGAATTGGAAATTCTCATTCTTATAGATTATATAGAGAGCGAGTTTTTAGATGTTTCTGATCCCGTCTACTTTTGTTAATTTAGTATACATACAATGATTGTCAGTGTTCTTACTATCTAAGTGCAAGTGGACGTTAAGTAATCACTTGCAAACTATTTGATGTCAAGTTAATGTATGTACACCTAAAGCAAACGGTATATATATATATATATGTACTGTCTATAATCCAGTTTTAGGACTATCGTTCTAAAAGTGTAAGCGTAGAAAAGTAAAATTCAATACAATCTTAAAGAAGTCTGACAACAATTTAGTTTTAGATAACAAAACTATCATAAGTGACAGGTGTACACTTTCATCTAACCTTAATGGTAGATTTCCTAGCTAATTATAATAAACTTTTGCAAAAATTTCATGTAGAATAACCAACTTCCATTAAGCTATGCTGCCTTTCATACTAGATTATTGATTATTTTCTAATAAGAATGTTGATTAAAAAAAATAAAGCTCCAGTAGAACAATTTTATCAGATAACTAAGCATATAGTGCTGAAAATTACACTCAATTTATATTTTGTGTAAACGATTTCTACACTAACTTTACTACCAATCACAGGAGATTTCATGTTCCTTCTAAAAATGAATTTCTGTATGGATAAATTTTCTTGAATTATATTTTGCATTTTTCTGTGTATATATTACTTAAATTTTGGCTGACAGTTTATCTATAGATATGTACCTATTTTAAAATTTGTGAAGATCTAAAAAAAATAATTCATTACGATAAAAAAAGGGATTAGAATAGAAAAGTTGAATGAAGCAGTGTATAATGATATGAAAAGGTGATTGGCACAAATACTTCAACAATGATATTTTTTGTGAAATTGTAGTCCACTGACTACAGTGATAATTGTGGAAAGAAGATATGTCGTCTTATCAAATGTAAAACAAGCAGCGTCTTTAACCTTCTTGGTAAGAGACTTACAGCGTAATAGATTCTCATCAGACTCCATCATGTAATCGTTAAAGGGTAGTATGCGATATAATAGGATTTACTGTCGTGATTAAGATTTCGTTGTCTACCCTTTTACTGGTTAACACTTAGCTCTGCGCCTAAAGCATCATGTACAAAGCTATCTATTATCTTATATCATCGGAACATATGACAAAAATAGTCCTAATGCTTAGCGGTGGAATGCAATATTTATGTTACAAACCATTTCAGAAGATGCTATGCTATATGCTTGACATCTTGTAGAGAAAAAAGAAGTGGATGAAAGCAGGTATAAAGTTTTTATTTCAAACTTCACTCACTTGCTATCCAGATAAGGCATGGAAATATTCACTGAGTTAGTAGAACTATGTGATTCCCAATGTTTACGAAATGTCAGTTCACTATTTCATCCCCTTATGGCTTAAATACAGTGAATTAGTACAGGTGAAGTTGTCTTTATTGATATTTCAGTGGTGTTTGAGGTAGTTAGTAATCCAGCCTCTGGAATGTACTGTGGCAACAGTGAGCAAAACCCTATTGAATGTCAACCCCCATGAGATTATAAATCAAAGATATTACTACCGCGTGAATTAGCTGAAACTGACCGAAAATCAAAGTCATTGTATCATTCTAACCAGAAATCTTTTAAAAGACGTGCGAAATGAGGCATTACGTTATAGCATATTATATATTCTGACAAAATGTAATGGACAGTCACCTCTTCAATGACTAAGGTTTTCTAGTAAGTCTTCATAGTGCAATATACATTCATCAGTGAAAGCAAACAATGTCTCCAGCATTTCACAAAGAGAATAACGGTAGAGAAACAAAAAATTACAAATATCTGAAAGTCTTGATTTTGTTCTTTTGTTATTTTGAAAGGCATATTGATTAACATTCGGTTCAGGTGTACAGAAACTTTACACATTTTTGTTTATTGAAAAGATGTTAAATACCTTCTTCTATGTTAACGTTTAATAGTTTACTGACGTGAAATTTATTAGAATGGGATAAGATAAACTTCACGAGCATTTCTTTTGATTTTAAATGTACACTCAAACATATTATAATTGTTTCAGTCACTAGAGTGTAAATCCTTCATAGCTATTTACTGTCACAGTGGTTTAAAATAGAGGTTTTAGTTCTAAATTTTGCTTTATAAAAGTAAACCACTTAAATATTCTATTCGAATAAAGATTAAAGTTGGCAGTTAGTTTTCTATCCACTAGTATTTATAAAGCATGAAAAGACAAGTTTATGCTTTGTAAATTGAGAAAAAGATACGATATTAAGCGTAGA